TGCGGTCGTGTCCCTGGAGACTGGGCCAAGGCCGTAATTGTGCCACTGTATAAAGGAAAAGGATCACAGCAGGAGTGCAAAAATTATCGCGGTATAAGCCTCCTAAGCGTAGTAGGAAAGTTGTATGCCAAGGTATTGATCGAAAGAGTGATGGATGTAACTGAGCGTAAAATCTGGGATGTGCAAGCGGGATTTCGAAAGGGAATGGGGTGTACGGATCAAGTCTTTTCGTTACGGTGCATTTCAGAGAAAGTGTTATCAAAGCACCAAAAGGTATTTTGTGCCTTTATAGACCTAGAAAAGGCTTATGACAGAGTGGTGAGGGATGAATTGTGGTCAACTCTGTCCATGTATGGGGTGGATGGCCACCTGATTCGGGCACTTAAATCCTTATATAAGGACTCGAGTGCCTGTGTCAGAATAAATGGGGACTACACAGAGTGGTTTAACATTAATCGAGGTGTTAGGCAAGGCTGTGTAGCATCTCCTTGGCTGTTCAACCTATTTATGGACAGCTGTTTGAACGACCTGAAAGTAGGAGAGTCTGGATTAAGGATGAATGACACAGTGATTAAAACATTGTTGTATGCCGACGACCAGGTGCTTGTTGCCTCGTCGGCCCAAGAATTACAACAAATGATCACTGCTATGAATGATGCATTTGAAAGGAAAGGTATGAAAGTAAATGTGAACAAGACGAAAGTGTTGGTGATAGAAAGAAATGAGGTGATAACAGAATGTCAGGTAATGATAGGTGATGAAAAATTGGAACAAGTGAATGAATTTGTGTATCTGGGATCACTATTTACGAGAGATGGAAAGTGTGACGGGGATATTGAAAGGAGAGTGAAAGCGGGAAATAGTGTTAATGGTGCTTTACACTCTGTCATGTCGAGTAAAATAATATCCAGCAAAGCTCGACTTGCTGTAATGCAGTGTGTATTGACACCAACGCTTATGTATGGTAGTGAATCATGGGTGTGGCAGAAGAAGCATGAAAGCAGGATTAATGCGGTGGAAATGAGAGCCCTAAGAAGTATGTGTGGACTAAAATTGAGTGATCGAGTGAAAAATAGTGTTATTAGAGAAAGGTGTGGATTGAAAGATGATGTAGTGACAAGGATTGAAAAGGGAATGTTACGCTGGTTTGGACATGTAGAAAGGATGGATGAAAGTAGAGTTACGAAAGAAGTATACAGAGCGGATATGAATGGGGCCGTCGGTAGAGGGTGCCCTAGACGGACATATAGTGACCAGATTGGCGATATATTAAAGAAGGGCCAAATTAAAAGTACCCTTAACCGACGAGCATGCATGAAAAGATTGATGACTGTTATTGAAGCGAAAGAGGTATGTAAGAATCGCAGTAATTGGCGTTCCTTAGTCTCTGCCTACCCCCATGGGAGACAGGCGTGAAGTTATGTATGTATGTATGTATGTAATCAGTTCTGGGTTTTTGCTTCATACATTTTTAGGCATTGTCCTTTATTTTTAAGATTGGTTGTAGTCTCGACCAACACCAACGGTAATATTTATCCTGTGAACGCAGGGAAAGCTGTTCACAGAAACTAGTATGTTTAAAATTATACTTATTACTTATGCACACGTAAGTTGTTATATGTAGTATTACACCATGCCTACCTACTTTTCTACAATAAGTTTTTGTGGTTTAATGCTAGGGCATTTTGCAAACCAAACTTGGTACTTATTGAAAATGTTGTGAATGTTTTCAACGAATGTTGAATGTTGGTTGACGGTGTGACACATTTTTAATGTTGGTAACATTAAAGGTGTGTCATGTTTGTAACATTATGTTACATATACGATTTATACAAAGGTAATAATACAGTTATACTTACATAGTATACATACATGTATCACTGTACCTACATACATAAAAAAAATGGTGCAGTTTCAAGGGTGCATTAATATCTGACCATTGTTAGTCAAAGGTCCCGATACAAGGTTTTGACTCTTCTGACATGCAATTACTAACAGTTTGACTGTGACGATTTCAGGGATATATCATCGACTACTGGTAAAATAAAGCGTGCAATACTGCAATTCACACCTGTGCAATGGACACCAGTCCGGTGGTTAGATCCTACAAGTACTTATATGCGATTCTGTGCATTGAGTCAGTTGGTTGTGTTTTGGCAAATTTCTGAGTTAAATACTTTTTTCCTGAAACACATATTTGAGATGCCACCCTCGCATCCCCTAGTCATCGCTCGACTTTGTCTTATAGGAGTAATTGTAGCTCCATCTGTAAGGTAACAAACTTTTGAATTTTAACATACAAATGAAATTTATATCTATTCCTTTGTGTTTATGTTTCTATTTTCAATGAATTACATAGATGAAACATTGTTGTTAATTTTAAATACAATTTGTTTTATTTTTATATTAATAATGACTTATTAATTGTATGTATGTGGTTTCAGGCAATATTACACATATGTTACTGATCCCAATTGCAAGCGTGTTGGTACCCAGTGTTGGGTATACGGAGCCATTATGGTGACTGAATCTATGCTGTGCATTAAGAATGGCAAAGAACTTTTTGGTCAAGCTCAAGTGTGCAATGTGATTGTATGGCTAGTCATTCAAATTTTAGTATCAATTGGCTGTGTGTATGGTGTAGTGCTCTATCATAGATATTTTGAGGTGAGTAAATATTGTACAAATGATAAAAATGTGTTCTTCAAAGAAGTAGTTGCTCATGTTGCTAATCAGGGTACAGTACCGTACAGTTCTATGATTTAATTATTCAAGTAGATAATGATGGTTTGAAAAATGTAAAAAGCTACCGGTCGGTCAGGGCTCAAGAGAGAGTAATTTCCGGACGATACGCGCCGTGTCCGGAAGTACCTACTCCTTTTGGCGTAAGACCTTTGTCCCAACCATCTTACGCTAGCCTACCCAGGCCTAAAAATCATCGTTATTAATATTTAATTATTTTTCTTTCACAGCCAAATAGCGACTCAAATGCAGAAAGTCCAAAAAAAATTGATTAAAAATTTGTAAGTATTAAAATTTAATAAAATCTCTATAAAATTTTTATTATAATTATGTTTTGCAACCATTAATAATTATCAATAATATATAAATTAAAGACCCACAATTTACGAATGTATGTAGTGTGGCGTCACTTGTCACAAGTCAACGGATGACGTCATTAAAATCCTACCTCGCACATGCGAAATTTACATTCGAGTGAACACGGATAGAAAATCCCAACGAACAACCGTTGGGCAGAAAGCCCGCCAGGCACGATCACCTCGCCTGGTCGGAGGATCCTCCTTTTCCGATATCAGGGAACTTTCCACTCTTTTCCCTAAAGTAGTATATTCGATCTTTCCGCAGATTTTGCAGTCAGTCAGTACTGATATTTCTCGAACAAAATCGGTTCCTGGTGTGGGGGTTTTGCTTGTAATTACATACTTATTTGTATTATTCATTTCTTTCATTAGTAACAAAACAATTAGTCACGAGCCCTGCTATAAAAAAATGTAATATGCTTCATGGCCTGGGGGCTTCCTCTTGAATCGAATTCTGATTGATCGACATATTGATATTGTAAAAGTTCGTATTTTTTAGTTGCAACACTACCATTCCATTGTATTCGTATTGAAAGGATACCGAATTAACTAAATGGTATTGAGTTTACAACTTTATATTCCAGTAGCTTTTGCCTTCGCTCGCTTCGCTCACATCACAAAAGGATAAAAAGTAGCTTATATGACATATACCAATACACACAGCGCCATCTATACCAATAACTTCGTTTTCCCTCGAGGATATCAAATTTTTCCGGGATAGAAAGTACCCTATTATTTAATCCAGATTTCTAACTGTACCATCTGCAAAAATTCAAAGCAATCGGTTTAGTAGTTACGGCGTGAAAGCGGAACAAACAAACAAACTCACTTTCCGATTTATAATATTAGTAAGGATTTTCTGAATGCTGTTTTAACAGCGAAGATTCGGTAGTACAGAATTGACATTAAATAATTATTGAAATTTGGCATTAAATAATTATAGAACATATATGTTCTGTGGTTTTGGCCAAAACTAAAAACGTATTTGCGACCTCTTTCTTATGGTCTATTATAATATTATTTTTAATGATCTAATGTATGCAAACTAAAAATGTGATCGTATAAAAAATGATGTATTTTATAATTCCATTTCAGAGTCGATGTTGAACAGAAGATTTTATTTAGTTATATACTGCGGTGACTACCCATTGACATCCATGCATCAATGCTGCAGTTGCAGCGTGCTCAGTGAATTCTTGTGTTAGTGAGTGTTTGTTGTTATAATTGCCTGGCTTTCTATGATGGATTGTAGGTATGTAAGTCTACTTTGGTAAAGATGTGATTTTACAGTGATGTATAGATTCGTAAAGGTAATGTAAACGGCCAAAAGAAAGTCCACTTGCTACTTCCTATTGATAATGTTTAATCCTGTTTGTACTCCAAATGTTTATTTCGAATAATATAAGAATGATTGCATGTATAACATACTAGCCATAAAATATGTAGTTCCCGTTGTCTGTATTCCCGACCCACCATATTAAGCATATGTTAATATCTTTTTATATGTACCAAAGTGCACGTACATGTGTACGTTTGTAACGTGCAGTGTTACGAAGTCACAATAGAACTAACTTAAGTATCGGCAGAGCGCTTAAAACAATAATTATACAGATGTCCCTGAAGTCGACGTCCAAACGATACCAGGCAATCTACAAAGTTACAACTGTTAGATATTAGAAAAATATTAAATTTCTAAGTAAGTACAGTCAGTGATTTATTTGTTATTCACGTAAAACTATAGCCTGTGATAGTATTTTAATCTTTGTGACTATAAATTTTTACTTTTTCCTATGTATCCTGAAATCCTGAATAATGCTTCAGTAATATGGAACCTTAAATTCTGTGCCAACTGGTTTAGTTTGGAAAATCCAATTAATATTCGCAATAAATTCACCTTACTAAGTAATCTCAGATAATTATATAATAATAGTATAATTACTGAAAAAAAATGTAGGTAACGCTAGTACGTTGAACAGTTACGGAATTGGTATACCACTTACTGCATTGTCTACGTTACTTCTTAAATTCGACACAATTATTTTTTAACCAAACTCTGTTTTAAACAATTTCTTTCCACTTCTAGTGTACCCTAATGGTACAATAAAACCTCGTACCCAGTATCCAACATTTGCCACGCATATATCGCATTGCTAAACAATGAAACAGGTTATAAATGGTGTGTGTGTAATTTCGCTCCCAACATTTGTCGGGAATTTTGTCGTGAAACACTATTCAGGATAAGGTAAGATAAAGTTCAGATAAAAAAGTAAAGATTTTTAGCAACAGGAGTTAAGACTGTAACAGGTGTACCTTTTTTGTGAATAATAAAATCACAGTAATTTGAATACTACATGACTTTTTTTTCTGATAGCTGTTGTATCTTTTCCGATTGCTTGGTATCGTTTGACTTTTGTTTGACTTCAGCCTGCATGTGCTAGTTTGTCTGAAGTGTTAGCGCAATCGCCGAATAGTCAAACTACGATTACTTCTATAGTAGAAAGTGTGTCGAATATTTCTAACTTAGTAAAATATAGATTAGGTGTGTTTGTATATTATGTCCTTTCTAGGAAATTTTGTGAGTCCTACTGAACTATAAGTAGTCTACGATGCTGTTAATTAATAGGCAGCCAATATTCCAGAAATTGTGTTCTATGTGATAATGTGATAAATTTCTTATACGACAGTGGAGAGCAATGTGACGGATATTGGCATAAGTACATACCTATCTACTTTTATACCTAAATTACAATCTGTGAATTGTATAAAAATTACGAATATTTAATAATAATCTTATCCGATCATGCCAATGCACATCTTGGAATAATTTTCTATTCATAGCAAAGTCCTGAAGCTGATATCACTTGCATTAATAACTACAAATGGTGTTAGTTCCAAGGACAACCGACAAAATATATATATATATTTATTGTAATGTACTATATGTTACAGAATAGTTGAAGAAGTTATTGTTAGCAAATTTATTTTGTTTATCCTTTGTTCCACGGGGTTCGTTGTAGCTCCACTGTTTCTAAGTACAAAAAATAAAACAGAGACAAACATAATTCGACTTAATTAAATATATTAACTTCAAAGGAGACGTAGGCTTATTTACCCATTTACGATGAAGGTCTTGTCTTATATAGTGATTTTTATGGGATATCTAATTATATTTAATTTTAGTGAGTGAAAAAGAACATCCAAATATACATATATATATATATATATTAGAACAGTTTTAAGTAAGAAATTCATAATATTTTCGTCATCTAAAGTATCATCATATTAAAATACGTGTTTGCCTCTATTCCCAGTTGTCACCATTGATTTTTAGGATTAATGTGTACAATAATTCCAACTGACAAATATAACACAAATATTTTCTCGGTTGTAGCCAGTGGGCTACAAGAGTGTGAAGAGTATCTCGAGAAACGCCACGACGTTCTCACCTTACCCCTGACTTAGGTACTTGCCGCACACAAAAGTTTCAGGAGATACCGGTTTCGTATTCAGCAGGAGGAAACGCCCTGGTATCATCGTTACGAGAACCACCCGGGCCCGGACATGATGGAACATACGGTGGCGGTGTGCCCTGCATGGGCTGAGTACCGCCGTGTCCTCAGGGATATGGTCGGCGATGGTATCTTCTTGCGTCCAGCTATGGTTTAGGCCATGTTGCGGAACGAAGGGAAACAGTCATGCTAGCTAAGGAGGAGGTGGAGTGCGTGAGAAGGATCCTTACACCCCAGGCACGGAGTTCCGGCAATCGGGGGAATGGCAAGTGCCAAGTATGGGTCTGCGGACGGCGAACAAGAGCCATCAGACCACCATGATGGGACCCAGTACCTATCTAGTGCAAAGTGGAGCTGATGCTCGATCCGGAACTGCGGACGGCTTGCGGTTACAGGGGCCTCGGTGGTTTTTAGTCAGTAAGAGTCTCAGTCGCCTCACCCAAGGCGGAAGAAGTCATTAACACGTGGTGTACCGGAACTTAGGTCTACGCGAGACACAATGTGTTTTCTGTTGTCTTGTATACCAAGTCAAGGGATTAAAAAGGGTTTGAAGTAACCTAAGGAATGAAATACACGACGGAAACTATAGTCAGTAAGCGAACTATAGCTTTCTCTAGATACCTATAGCTGGTTACAACTAGGAGAATATGTGATTTACCTACATCACCACTGGTAACAGATGCGATTATTTTTCCCATTTATCATTAGGGGTGGCAACTGGGAACTTGCGTTTGCGGCTCAAGTATTCAAAGTAGGTATTATTCAAGTGTTATTTCGGATGACGTGCACATTAAGAGGTACCTATGCTAAACCACTGTTGAGTTATTTAATTTTAGCCAAATAATATTTATTCAACCAAAAATTTCTAAGCTATACTGATTAGTAGCTTTTTTTATGGCTTAAGCCGGTAAACGAGCAGACGGATTACCCGATGGGTAAGCAATCGGCGTCGCCCATGGACACCTGGAACACCAGAGGTGTTACAAGTGCGTTACCGGCGTTTTGGGGATTAGGAGTTTGAGGATCGTTGGGGATTCAGGAATTGGGGAGATTGGGTAAGGGGAGGGTGGGCTTCCGGTAACCTCACTCGCACGACGAAACACAACGCAAGCGTTGCTTCACGTCGGTTTTCTGTGAGGTCGTGGTATCACTCCGGTCGAACCGGCCCATTCGAGCTGAAGCATGGCTCTCCCACGCTTAACATCTAGCTACTTTACATCTTAGCCCTATAGGGATGATGACGGGGTATGAGAATTAAAAGTCTATTTAGTCTGTCAGTTAGGTAATGGAAAAATATTAGACACTTATTATTTTTTATTTTTTTGTATATAAAAACAATACTAAGTTATCTAAGTATGACTCAAAGTTTATGAGTGGGAGCGAAAACGTCATTTTCAAATGTATAAAATGGCTCTAGAATTAGGGTTGCCAACAACACTATAATGTATCCTACTTTATTTTCGGTATTCATACTTTATACTTTTACATACAAATACTTTATTTCCAACCTTTACCACGACGCGTGGAATACATTGTACTTTACTATTGAACGGTATTTATAAGTTAAAAAATATTATGTTTACCATAATCTTTTTAACGATTTATAATTCATCATCATCATTCAGCCTATAAGTTTAATTAAATCGTTTCTTGCTTCTTGCTCCTACGATTAACTCTGCTCTGCATCACCCAAAGGTCAGACTGGGAGAAATAGCCTGCGGCATTAAGTAAGTCCACTTTGTGCATGAAGCGATAATAAATAAGTTGAAGTTTATTGATCGTTCTTCTCCATAGGAATCTACACCTTGGAATGAGCAAATAGCTTCACTTTTAATTTTTTGTTGACATTCAAAAGTGCCTTTCTGGTCAAATTGAAATAAATGATTTTGAGTTGACTTGACTTTGAAGTGCCCACTACTGATCAAAGTCTCTTCTCACTTGGAGAAGTTTTGAAAATTAATTACCATGCTTGCTCATTGCAGGTTGGCGATTCCAAACTTATTAGAAATTATAAGTCGGAGGTTTCCTCGTTCCAAACAGATCTAGTAAATGGAGATGTCCTTGACTGACAGGCTACTAGGACTTGAACTTTTTCATATTTCGAAATTAAAAATGTTTATGATACTGTTATCATACCATACCTGTGTACATATTTACTAAAGCTACTAGGTTACTAGGTCCTAAGACCTAGAAGTTGTTTGAATATCACCGAGACAGTAATCCCAAAGCCTCAAAATGCAGTCTATTTCCAGTTACACCACTGGCTTTGTAACCATTGAGGATAAATCTGCTGCCAACTGTTACTAGTGTTATGTATGACACATATTTTCTGTAGCTATTGTTTTTGTCGCCAGTAACAAAATAAAAAAAAAAAACGTCCCGACTGTCGCCAGTGGGACGATTTTATAATAAATGGTATTGAATAGAGGTAGGTGAGTTGTTTATAGCAGCTTTCATTGTTAATTATTTATTACATATTATATCCTTGTCTTTCAGAATTTATTTCTCATATTATGTCTATAGTTTTTCTATTTAACTATATCGACGAATGTTTGAGGAACTAACAATGTTGAAACTCTGGCGCCCTCATTGATTTTTATTAATAAATAGAGTAACTATACCTGTTAAGTACTTATTAGAAGACCCGTCTCAATATAATTTGTTCGACGCACCAGGTTTTTCTACATTTTAGTTGATTATTATGTATATTACGAGTATGTGGAATAAGTTCTGTTAATTAAATTGACTTGGTTATTTATGTGCGTTAAATGATTGAATATGCAATTTTAATTTAAAAATAAATCGTAATTATTTCCAAACCATTATAGGTATAACTTATATGATATGTTTATCTAAAGTAGCTTTTGAATTACACGTTGGTGTTATTTCTATTCTGTAAGATATCAATTTGAACTCTCGGAGTGTACTTGTTCGCACTTTCGCCCGTCATTGGTCGAGATTATTCTCACTACCCATTGGTATGTCATTACATAGCGGACCGCAATCGAACTCATTTGAGAGTTCGAATTGAAACCTATTTTTCAAAATAGCCTAGCTGGGCCTTATTCAGACGAATTTTCCTACCTATTATAATGCTGTCGGCTGTAAAAAAAACGCTGTATTACCATCTAAGCGATGACGGAATAATGGAACCATACGTCTACCTACATAGTGACTTTTATTTGTATCTTAGAGTAGGTAAGTATGTGGTGGAGAAAAATGGCAGTTTATTAATTTTTTCTCCTTTTTTAGCGACTTCAAAAAAAGGAGGAGGTACTATATTCGGCTGATTGGTTTTTTTTGTTTGTTCGCGCAGTACTCCGCCATTTGTGAACCGATTTCCAAAATTCTTGTTTTGTTTGAAAGGGTATACTCCCGACTCTCTCCGACCCGACCCGACTCCTCC